AAAAAAAAAAAAAAAAAGAAACGCGTTCAGTATGATAGATAAGGAAAAAACTAATAAAAAATATTATTGCTTCACATGAGCGCTCTATAAACAATGATAATTCAAATTTTTGTATATTAAATATTTGATTTATTGACATTATTTTAAGATTTGTAAATATTTTTATGATTTTCTCAATAATTTTAAGAGTTTATTTAACCGTAAGTATATAAGATCAATTTCTTAACAATATTTATTTAATTTTATAAGTTTATTAATAACAATTATTTTAGCATTAAATGTAACATGGAGGCCAAAACTATTGCTCATTATACAATCTTCAATTTAAATAAATTTTATTTATTAAGCAAAAAATAAATAAGAAAATACAATTTACCAAATAATTGTTTTAATGTTTTTAAATTATTTTTTAAGATTATTGAAATTTAAATCAAATTGTGTACCATATGTTTGTAATGGTTCATGAAAAATATAATAGTATTTGAATGGAAAAAAAAAAAAACTGAAATTCAACCAAAACTTGAATATTAATAAATATTTATAACTGACGTAAATATATAATTAATTAGATCAAATGAAAATAAAAGCATACGAAAAGTATTTTACTGGAAAAAGGGAAGATAATATGAACAATGTATAAAAACTTTGCTAACATATGCCAGTTGAATTACAACTGCTATATTTTGTTAATAAAAATAATGACAAAGGATGGTCCCTTTCAACAAGATAAGAAGAAAAAATTGTAAACTATCATATGCAATTATTCATGTAAAAGATTTTAATTTAGTTTTACTGTTCATATTTATCAATCTTCCCCAAATAAAAAATATTTCGAATAAACAAGACTAACTTAGATAATGAAGGTTTCTCAACCAAAATTTTCATGCAATCTTTTTTCACTATTACTTTTATATATTATTTTTTTCAACTTTCGATATATTTGGCAATGTCCATTATGTAATGTACTTCTTGTGATTGGTTAATTGAAAATAATTATTCAATAAATTTGAATAGATCATAAAAATATAAAAGACAGTATAATTTAAAATCACATTAACATATAAGTAAGAAAATTGAAATCGATAGTGTTTTTCCTCATAATGCCCATAAAGTATATAAACATTTTTTGTTTTTCCAAATAACCTATAAAAAAAATAAATTGTATAGTAGTATGAGAACGGTTGAATTCTTATTTTGCAGCCTAAACTTCTAATATACTCAATTTCCTTCTTAAAATAAGATTAGAACAATTTTATGAAATTGTATAAAATTAAAACCCATACTATTTATTTTTATGTCGAATGGGATACCACTTAAGCAACATGATTTAATTTAGATCATACGATTATCTATAATTTAATTAAAAATATATGGAGAATCATGATATGCCTATATACCTTTAAAATTAATTAAATTACTTATCTATC